TCCAGGCCATTTGAAACCCTGAATGTGAACAGAATGTTCTGGATACTGAAGGCTTTTGGATGGTTCTTCCCTATGTAGACAAAGAGCCCTTTTTTTTTCTGCAGCCACCTGTACCCAGCATCCCTTGCAGCCCCAACATCAGAGTGTCTCTGGGATTCTGGGCAGTTAGTACCGCTTCCTAGACATGTGTGTTAGCAGTCCGCCCTATAACCGTTCGTTGCACACTTGGTTCATTTGCTTATTTTTATGCGCCTCAATATCCTCCTCTACTCCACCTTCAAACCATTGGGCCAGCGCTCCGCACACACACTGAGGCACGTTGCCTTGGCTAATGAGCTCTACAGAGCTTCAAAATGGACAGTCCTCCCACACGAGTGAGATAGTGAGACTTCTTCTCTTTTCCCAAAGCCCAAGCAGAGACCAAAAACATGCTTCTGTCTGGTCTCCAGGGAAAAGAAACAAACAAAAAACTCGTACATCCCTGGATAGAAATTTTCATGTTACCATTGTGATACACCTACCAGAACTTTCCTTCCACCTGCTCCAAACGCATAAGCACGCTCGTGCCCCCTGGCAAAGGCAGCTGCAGGCATGGGCGGGGGCCGACTGTGACGACACTAGTCTGAAGATAACGGGGTTTGTGGTCTTGTTCTCCCCCTTAGACACCACACGCTTCAAAGTAAAGAATTACATCCTTTTCTTTCTTTGTAATTTCTCAACGGCCAATTTGGCATTGCTCTGTGCCTAGCAGGTGTCCAATAAACACTGCTGACAGCGTACTCCAGGTTCCAAGCACTTACAAATGAGAAAGTGCCCACGTTCACTGTCAAAGGGTTTTTATTTTTTTAAAGATTTCTTGGATTCAGTGTGTGTTTCTGTGTGTGTATAAGAGAGAAAGATGAGAGCCTCAGAGATGAAGATGGTCTGAGAATGGAAAACATTAAGATACACAGAGACAAGGCAAAGCACCCACCGAGACCCACAGTGAGACAGACCAGCACATTGAAACCCATGGGGCCCCTTCCAGGCTCAAATTTATATATTTATATATTTTAAAAATGACCTAGCCAACATTCTGATCCAAGATTTTGTGATTTCAGGTGTTTTACCCCCACCCCCTGGCTATGGGAAAACATACATGAGACTGGTGCGATGGCACAGGCCTTGAAACACATCACCCACACCTTCACACCGGCCTTGGAAGTTCTTGCCACCTTTGGTGAAGCTGCCAGAGCTTTTCTTTCCAAATTATAAACACCTTCATGAAGCCAGGCATCAATTACGGGGTTGCTGACAGGTAAGCGTGACAGCCACCACTCAATACTCGCCCCAGTGAAGCCTACGCCAGTCCACCAGGGTGGGAGATGCCGTGTGGCAGAAAAAAGCACGGCCAAGAGCTGGGAGTGTGGATAAGTCACGTCACCCTTCAGGGTGTCGGTCTCCTGGTCTGCGAAAGGAGACACAATCCCCAATCAGCCCACTGGCCGAAGTGAGGCTCTGCTGTAACAGGATGAGTCGGTGGGGGCAGCAGGGAGGGCCATCTGCCACCCAGAGGGGGAGGGGGTGGTGGGCAGTAGGTCTTCCTTGGGACTCAGGGCCGCCGGCAGCCGGGAGGAGAACTAGACTAGACGGACAAATCTCTTGCTATGTGATAACTGTTTTAAATTTTTAAATGCTTTAAAAAATGACTATAAAAATACCAAATTGCAAAGAAATCAGAACAAGACTTAGACTCTGCACCTTGATGATGAAGAGCATGAACTTGGAAGTGGCAAAGACATGTGTTCGGGTCCCCTCTCCCCCACTTACCGGCTGTGTGTCCTCGGGTGAGTTACTGAACCTTTAGAAAGCTGGCTTTGCTCATCAGTAAAACTGGATTAAAATAGTACCTGTCTCATGAGGGCAACAGGAGGACTAAATGAAATACTGTGTCGAACGTTCTGACACATAGTGAGCTCTCAAGATTAACGATAATTTCTATTATTGTTCAGTATTTCCTCCCCTTATCTGGGATTCATCTTCCACAAACACAGTTAGAAGTATGCAAGTAACCAAAATTGCATCTGAACAACCAAAACAGTGTCACGATGTGTACGAATAAAAGCCTGGGTGCTGTATTCGCATAGTAACCCCCAGGTTCTCACTATTTATTGTGATTTTATACACAATTCCAAGAGCAGTAATAATGATGGACACTTGACTGACCACCTACTGGGTACCTGCCACTTCCCTAAATGCGTTACGTTCGTTATCACACTGGATCCTCACAGTCCCACAAGGCAATTATAATCATCTCCCCCATTGTACAGATGAGGAAATGGAGGCTGACAGAAGCTAAGTGACTTGCCCCGGGTCAGAATGGTTAAGGATGTGAACCCAGCCAGTCTGATCCACACTCTTAATCAATACACCACAGCACTTTCATGACATCCTGGTGATCCAGTCTCCTGGCTCAGAGCGGGTTAGAAAAAGAGTTGGAGGGGGTGGGAGGTACTGTAATGACAGGTACACTGACATCTGATAGACTGATGGATTCACAGGGAGACGGGAAAGGGAAGGAGACACCAAGCTCCTGCAGAAAGGCTGCCACGGCACAGCTGCCCAGACCCAGTCAGCACAGGGGTCAGAACCCCTTAACACACTTCAGAGCCCCCGAGAACATCATGATTCCACAGCACAGTGCAATCATTTTCACTCTGCCGTTAAGAAAAACCAAATTGTGTGCTGGAGAAAATGGGGCAGGTGGGTAATGTGGGTGATATATTAAAGAGATGGTAGGTCCCCTTGGGACAGTATATCTAGTCGAATACCCTTTGACCCTTTGACAATTTGCATAAATGAGGAACCGCCTTTAGAAAAAGATGATACACAATTCAAGTAAGAGTTAAAGAGAAACCAACATCCAGGTGCATCTGGGTGTGTTTTCTGTGAATCCTTACCTTTTATTTTAACCTGCTGCTTAACTTAACCCAGTTTCTATCAAGTCTTAAGACAAATAAACCCTTTAGTCCTCTCTGTGCCTCTCTGTTTAGAATCATGCCTCTGGTGCCTTTAGCCAGGGTAGCATTTAAAGGTCTCACAAACTAACTGCATCAGAAAATTGAAAGGAACATGCATTGAAAATAAAGATTTAAAGTATTTTTTTAAACCCAAGGTAAAAAGGTATTGAGTGGCCTTCTTGGCATAGGCAGCTGTCACCTGGACTTTCAGTGTCCTCCTAGGGATGGAGGAAAAGAGACCTGTGTTAACCATGAGACTTATGTCCAATCAGAAGCTGGTCACAGCTTCCTATTCATAACCTCAGCTCGCCGCCCCTAGAAGTCGGATTTTGTTTTATGCCTATTCACATCATATTCCCTGAGTTTCATAAAAACTGCTTTTGAAGTCCCAAAATGAAGCTTATCAGAATAAAACTGCATGAAAGGTATTTAAACCAAACCTGAAAAGATTTCAAAATAGGCATTTCAAACGGATATAATCACCACAATGATACCGTTAACCAATCCTCTATTTCTGGTTATCTGAGCAGGGAGAAACCCCCAGGAACCAGAAAAGCCCCAGTTCACCAGCAACCCACACTCACCTCGCCTGCCAGCGGTGTCCAGGTAACACAGAAGCTGTTCTGGGTGGAAACAGAGGGGATCCCTTATCCTTCTAGGCTGGGATTGCCAGATTCGGTAAATAAAAATACTGGACACTCAATTATAGCTGAAGTTCAGATAAATAAAGAATAACTGTTTACCATAAGTAAGTCCCATCCAATATTTAGGATGTGTTCACATTACAAAATTAACTGTTGTTTCTCTGAAGTTCAGATTTAACTGGGTGTCCTGTATTTCATCTGACATCTCTACTGTAGGCTCTGGTCCCCAAGGGGATGTGGGACAGGTGGGAAGTAGGCGCGAGTTGGGGCTCCACTTACCAGCCTAGGAGAACAGCAACACTGATGGCCCCGGCTGGCATTCTCGCCCCTTCGAGCACTAGGCTCCCTTTCTCTCTCCAAGGAGGCTGCATGGCTCCAGCCAACCCACTCCAATCCATGGTCTCCCTTAAGAAAGACACCTTCTCTGATCCCTCTGGCTGTCACCCCCCCAAGGCACATCTAACCTGACCTCGCCCGCACTGAGATGTACACGTGGAGACAGGGCGTGTACGACTCGTTTGTAACAACATTCTGTTGTGTCTCGTTTCGTTTTCCAAGAAAGGCTGCAAATGGGCTTTGAAGGGACTCTTGATTGGAGGTTCCTTTCATTTTTTTTTTCTTTCCCCTTACAGACCCCCTCCCACCTACTATATCCAGATGCCAGGAAGTAAATCTGGGTTTGTTTCCCTTGATCATAATTTCAAGACCTGAATTAAAGCGAGGGCTGAGCCAGCATGTCCAACTCGCCTAGAAGTTTTTCTGAACTCTCCATCCATAGACCCTGTCTGATTCTCCTAATGGATGCCCCGATCCACTCAGCACTTCATACTACTGATTAGTGATCTTTTGTGAACCACACTCAAAAATAATCACATGTATTTAACAAAAACAAGGAAGAAAGATATCCTGGTTTCAGGCTTCCAAGTGTGTGCTTGCAGCAAAACATTTACAGCTAAGCCGTAAAATGCATGGAAATAGGGAGAAACACAACAATAAAGCGAGGGGTGAGATTAACGACGCCATAATACAATCTGTTTTCATTTGGTGCAGAGAAAATTAATTTTCGAAGACATTTCATTTAACTGCAATAATTTGCAGCTTAACCTTTGACGCTAGAAACTTTTCTCTTTCATCCCCTTTAACCCTAAAGATGGGGGAAGCTGGTTTTATGTCTGGTTATAAGTATTACTTCATGGCAGACGACCAGGCTCGCTGCCTCTGCTCGGGATGGAGGCACGCAATGGGTACTCAGGGAACAAAAGTTATTGCTGACTATAATTCTCAGCTCTGTACCTCCTACTGAAACGTCCACTTTAATAAGCCAAAACTCAACTTCCAAAAGAATAAGATGTGTTACCTTCCAGAGCAAGGCACCGGGGTGGGCTGGACGACCAGATAAGGTTGTGTAAGCACTCGAGATACTCCGACCCCTCGAGTTTGAATCCGGGAAAGCAGTGATAGGAGATCACGGTTCCCACTGGGAAGGAGGTCTGGAACTCGGAGATGTTCACGTAGCCATTCGAAGAAGCGAGTGGTCTCAGGCAGCCTGTGACGTGGGAAAGGAAAAGGGAGGAGTCTCTCGCGGTCATCTTTGTACACCGAACTGACAAAGCACGATACATGTTCAGGATTCTCCCACTGTGAACGTGCCGTGGCCTCCAAGGACAGTGCACCTTGGTCTTTAATGCTCAGACTTCCTTATCTACGTACTTACTCTATTTACAAAGCAGGTATTTGCTTTCATGGTTGCAAATGGCACCAAGAGAGTCAGATAAGTAGGGAAGGCGTGAGGGAGGGTGCAGATGAGGATCAGGACACCCCTAGCTGGTGGTTCCACCCCTGACTACAAGTCAGAATCACCTGAGGAAATTTTTATAAACACCAATGCCCAGCCCTGTGCCCAGGGTCTGTGTACAGCCTGGGCATTCCTATCTTTTTTAAAGCTCCCCAAGGAATCTTAGTGCCATCAGAGCTGAGAACCTCGAAGATGCCACAGAGGAAAGAGTCACCTCAGTGGTTTCAATGGTGGTGGTGGGCGCCTTGAGAAGGTTAGAATGCAAACTGGGTCCCATGGCAGCAGATAATGGCAGACACCTGCCTGACATGGAGCAACGAAAGTTTTCAAAAATCTGCTTGTGTTTTACGTGAAACAGGAAAGTAATGTGCAGCACAGTAGTTCTCAAACTTGAGAATAACCCAGAGAGAGGGCTTGTGGAACAGACTGCTGGGCCCCACGCCCAGAGCTTCTGATTCGGTAGGATCTGCACTGTGAAAGGTTTCTGGGCGCTGCTGCTGTGGCCGCAGGTCTGTGGGCCAGCCTTTGAGCAGCCCTGTTACGGCGAGTCTGCAGCAAGCACGGGATTCTGCATGCTGAGTGGGAGGGAGACCTGGATCCCTGCTTCAGTGAAACAGGAGCTACCTTTCTGTCTTGGAGGCTGTGCAGCCGAGTGGAACGTTCCCGGGGCACCCCATCCCACTCTGTGCAGCATCTGCTGTGATCAGGGAATTTCTTATTGGCTCCGGCAGTTTCACTGGAGGGAATAATGACCCTGCAGAGCTGGTGCTCTTCCCGGGGAGAACTAATTGCGTGTGAAGTAAATAATGTATAATGGAAATACCTACTTTCCCTTCCAATCACCAGGTACAAATGATATCACGCACACACTGCAGCAGATGATAGAGTGCTTCTCCTAGGCTGTTACATGTTATAAGCATCACAGGGCTTTGTGTTCAGCAAATTGCTTGGGTCAGAGCCCCAGAACGTGGTGTCTGTATCAGGGTGAGACCAGGGTGAGGCGGGGTACAGGACGCAGGGAGGCATCCACTCTGGGGCCAGGTAAATGCCGACCTGCACTGCTGTGTCCTGGTGTCCCCGCACACCCCACAGGCCCCGAAGATCCCCTCCCTGAACCTGCCACGCTCCGGATGGACCAGATCAAACTCACTTAGCCACCCTTTCGGGCAGTCCTGACAGCCTTAAATGATTTTTTTTTTTTCGGAACTGAAAACTGACAGTACTCATGGCAAAAGTGAACTGTATGGGGTAAGTTGGGAATCAGGAATAAACAGGATCAATAATTGATAAAAGAAAGGCAAGCAAGTTGACAGGAACTAGTGACTGTGTCAGAAGCCCCTAAGCACGGTTCAGGTGAGGCAGCACAAACGGCTGTGCCCAGGCTCCCTCCTGGGAAGGAGTGTGTTTCTCAGCTACCCACGTGGGTAAAATGCATTCCCTAAATAAAAACTAATTCTGACCCACAGGGAGCAGGAAGCATTGGGATGTGGCTCGGCTCTCTAAAACACAAAGTTTCCATGGAAAACATGGCCTTGGAACGGTACCCAAACCCCCGCAACCCCAAAAGGACAGGGAAGAGGTTATAACACATGCAGCTAATCTGAGAAAGAATGCTATGCTCATTCTTGGTTGGAGACAGCCGGCCCTAAAAATACAGAAGAAAACTGGCTTTGACTCAGTAGTTTGATGTGATTTCTATCTGCACTCCTAGATAATGGAGGGACGGCTCCTTGAACTTCAGCCCCTGGATCTACAGGTGAAAAGCCACAGGATGAAATGCCACTCTAAGGCCAATTGTACGCCCCCAGGGGGCTCGAGAGGTGTCAGGCTGTGTAAGGCACCTTGCGCAGAGCCTGTGTGGGCAGGTCGCGAGGTGCTGGGGAGGAGGAGGGTCAGGGCCCAGGGCTCCGAGAAGGCATGAAGGTGGGCTGTTGGAAGAAACACACCTCTTAGGAGCAGCTGGCCAGCTCTTCTGCGTTGCAGAAAACATCAAAGCTGCGTTTTGACTGAGATTTCCTAAGGGGTAGTGGAGGGGCGGGGCAGGAGTGGCCAGACAGGGCAGAGGAAAGCCCGCACCCGAACGTCCCACAATGACACCCCAGGATGCACATCACCAGAGGGCATTTAAAAAAAATCATGGGGGCAAGAAGAACTCCTAAAGCAGCGTCCTGTATTTAAGTGACATAAAAGGACACTGAAAGGGTGGGAGAACAGAAAGGTAAGTGGAAACTATGAAAGCAGGAAGTGGCTGCATA